TCTTCCCATCTTGTAGATGTAGTATGACATATCCTGTGATATATTCATACATTAAACGGGTTCTTCATTTTTCTGGACTGTGTAACATACGTGCGTTGAATGTAATAAAAATGTGGACGTGAGACGTTAATTATCTTTGACTCACCAAGCGAATGTGGCCATTTATTTACAGAATCAAAGTTTAACATCAAACATTTACATTAATTTGGCAAAATATGAAAATAACAACATAATTAATCAGCTTTACAGGTAGTGAGTAACAATACGGCGATTGTTTCACTTTTCAGCAGAACAGCAGACATCAATCCACACGGCGGTGGATGAGCACTTTACACAGACATTTCTAAAATATCTGTCAATGATTTCTACTTGATAGAAGAATTTTTAAAGATGGAAAGATGAAGTTTAGCGGGAGTGAAAGATGGATGAGGGAGAATGTGGTGTGTATGAGTGAAAAGTGTTGACAGGACGACACCCTCCATCCGATCCAGCTTTCCTCGGTACGCTCAGTAGGGGACTAGACTCATTTACCTCTCTGACGATGAATCAGAAGAAGAGGAGCTCCAGTTCACGCTACCTTTCAGCGTCTCCGTAGGATGGCAGAGATACATCCGGAGTGGTGACGGGACTTCGTCAACAACAGTTCACCTCACCGGGTGGACTTCACATGAGTGGGGTTCTTCAGAAGTTCCACTCAGAGGTGGAAGATGTTGTAATCCAAACTCGGAAGAGCCTTATCATGGCTGGACTTCTGTTCTCCCAAACGACTGGAGCTGCAAACTCTCCAGCCCGACTCCAACGGCAACTGCGACCCAACAGCAACTTCACAGAACTGCCACTTCACAGAACTGCGATCATCTGAGAACTGGGCTTCACAGAACTACTGCTCACAGAACAACGACTTCACAGAACTGCGAACATCTCAGAACTGCTACAACACAGAACTGGGAGAACTAGGAAGTACCGACATTTTAAAGGGCTCTATTCCCGGTTCATTTGAGAGTTTCTGATTGGTCAATATCAACCAGACAGGGGTGTGTTTTGTGATGTAAGGTGTTATGGAAAGTCAGAAACCAGCAAGAATGTTATGGAACAGATTGAAAATGTTTCCCAGACAGGCGAGAGAAATGTTTGGGCGAGTTTGGAGAAACAGGTGCCAACTTCTCTGTTTACGTCTGAGAGGATTTAAAAACAAGACAGTTGTTCCACACTTGTCTGCTTCGACTCCTGACCTTGGAAAACGTACACTGCTCATTCAAAGACAGAAATCAGAAAATGCATAATTACTCTGTAACAGGCCTTAACATGAATTCTACTTTGCATAAGCAACTAAAAATCATTGTTACTGTTTTACAGTTAATAAAATTGATTAGTTCACTGTAACATCTAAAATGTTTCAACTAAAACACTTTGATTATCAAACATTTGTAAAACAGTAATGATAATAGAAAAGAGAGTGTTCTTTCACTTGAATTTTCAAGAAAGAAAGTCTCAGGATGGGTGAACCTGTATTTCTGGATGCAAATCAATGAAATGACAGTTTCTGACCATATGATCCTAAGGTCAAGATTTGACATCAGGTCAAGTTCACTACAGATAAAACGGGGAGCACGGTGGCGCAACTGGTAGAGCTGCTGCCTCTCAGTGAGCAGGTCCTTGGTTCAAACCCCGGTCCAGGGGCCTTTCTGGGTGGAGTTTGCATGTTCTCTCCGTGCATGCGTGGGTTTTCTCCGGGTGCTCCGGTTTCCTCCCACAGACCAAAAACATGCATGTTAGGCTGACTGGTAACTCTAAATTGTCCCTAGGTGTGAGTGAGAGAGTGAATGGTTGTTTGTCTCGTTTGTCTCTATGTGTCCCTGTGATGGACTTGCGACCTGTCCAGGGTGTACCCCGCCCCTCGCACAGTGATTGCTGGACATGGGCACCAGCGACCCCCGTGACCCAAAATGGAATAAGCGGGTAAAGATAATGGATGGATGGATGGATATATATAACAAAGGCACTTTAATAATCCTTTTCCTGCTCTGTAGGTCAGTTAGTACCATTCGTAATCAACGCTACCATATCCATGCCAACCTGTCCTTTGCCATCTTGGTGGCTGAGATCTTTCTGCTCATCAGTTCTCGCTTTGATCCAGGCACGGTTAGTACACTTCCACAAAATGAACTCATGATGATTCTCAGACCTGGAATCCAGAATATAGGAGTTATATGTGTGTGTGTGTTTTTCTTGCGCTCCCAGCTGCCCTGTAAGGTCATGGCCATCCTGCTTCACTTCTTCTTTCTGAGCGCTTTTGCCTGGATGCTGGTGGAAGGCCTCCATCTCTACAGTATGGTGGTAAAGGTGTTCGGCTCTGAGGGCAGCAAACACTTCTACTACTATGGCATCGGCTGGGGTAGGTAATATTTAATCAAATATTGTTACAGAAAAGGTTGGTTAATAATACAAGCTTCAGTAAGTAACACTGACTTGTTTTAGTCTCAGTGAACTTGAGATTTAAGAAACTCAGTGCATAATTACATTTCCTTTGACTTCTGGTGTGCACATGAACTCCCTTTAACATGTTGAACCTATTAGTCCAAATGATCCATTTTTATGACTTCCTTTCCATTGACTAGAGTAATTTTTCATTTTGTGTGATCATCTGCAAATTGCATGCTGAAGACTTGTCTGACAGCTAAAAGTATAGCTGTTCTACGAAAAGACAGACTCATTTAAAGCAATTACAGCTGTTATTAGGTGTTATGAAAAATATATTTCATGAACTGTTTCAAGTAGCAACCCAGCTGGGAGACTAAAATTTAAAAAAAGAATATAAATGATTAATTTTAAGAAGATGAGGGACATGTTGCAAAGGAAATAAGAATCAAAGCTGGATGACGGACACAACTTGAGATGAGATCAAGCCCTACAAGTCTTCTTTGCTTTGGTTAAAGATACCCTGAGGAGTTTTGACCACAAACCAATACAATGATGGAAAAAAAATGGTTTGCAAGGAAACAACTTTAATCATCAAAAACTCAAACTTAAAATATCATGTTTGATTTAAAATTACAATGTTAGTTGTATGCATAGGTCTGTGTTCTTTGAACATAATGTCGAAACACTCGTTTTTCTCATTGCCAGTTTTAATTTAAAATGCTATCAAACCTTTCGTGAGTTTAGTTCATGGTGTCACAACTATTCAGCCTCAGCCCTCTGAATGTGCTGCCGTGTCCGGCTTTTATTTCTTCATTTGAATTGACATATCTAAGTCACTGACAGGAAAACCATCTTTTTAAATCTGATGCATCATAAGACTTAGATCTAACATTTATGTTAGATTAAATTATTTAGAAAAAGCCACTATTACTATATATAAAATTAAGAAAAACTACTAGTAAACTTAGATGGCTGTTACATACTAAAGCAGAAGAAGGTGTAAAATGCTTTTTAGCTATTATTGGATATTACCTTGTTATTAAAAGGCTATATCTGTACGTGATCTTTATGTATAATTTTTTTATAGATTTGTTTAGCGCTCTCTGCCCATAAATAAAAGCTGAATCGTGCAACAGAATGCACAGTAAATGTTAAGGTCAGTCCGTGGAGCCTCCCTTCACACTGGATGAAGAACACACTAAGCTTTTTACAATCGATTGGAAGTGACTGGATTCTGACAAATTTGGAAAATCTCCTTCAATGTCAAGGCAATCATGACTGTACAGTCTCAGTACTCACTAGTTAGGGTTTTCCTGCATGTATATATTTTATTTATGCACAATAATCATAAGTCTACAGAAAATGTTATCAACACAATGCAAAGTTTAACTCTCTTTCCACAAATTACCAGACCCAGCAGAATAACAGCGTATTCGACCACTCTGATTGATAACATCTTCACAAATGATATTATAAATAAATCAATAGGAGGACTATGTCAGTGATATCAGTGATCACTTACCTGTCTTTACAGTATATGACAGCAATTATAATACTCGTAAATCAGAAAACCAAAAGTTATATAGAAGGGTGAGAACAGAAGAATAAATAAAAAAAATTTAAAAGTGACTTGATGGCGCAAAACTGGGATATTATCTATCTATCTAACATAAATGGTGCATACGAGGCATTTCTTGATGTATTTATGGAATTATATAATAAACATTGTCCAATTAATATGTATAATAAACAGAATAAATATTATAGTTGTCTTTGGATCACATCAGGACTGCAAAATGCCTGTAAAAAGAAAAATACATTATATAAAAACTTTATAAGATTAAGAACTAAGGAAGCAGAATCTAAATATAAGAAATATAAAAATAAATTGATAACTATCATTAGGTTTTGCAAAAAAATAAAAATACAACAAAAAATGGATGAAAATAAACATAACATTAAAGAAATATGGAATACCTTAAACAGTATTAAAAATATATTATAAATAAACAGGATTAGCCAAATTATTTTATTGATAAAGATTTTGAAAACTATAATATGAATGAAATAGCTAAGAGTTTTAATCATTTTTTTGTAAATATTGGACCTGATTTATCTAAAATGAGCCCTGAGCTGCCACATACTGAACCAAATTTAAATAAAATAATAAACAGGAACCCCAACTCAGTGTTCCTCAGTGCTGTGACTGAAGAAGAAATAATTGACATTGTAAATAAATGTAATAATAAACAGTCTACTGACTTACATGGGATTGATACGAGACTGGTAACGCATGTCATTGAGGGGATTTCTAAAGCATTTACATATATTAGTAACTTGTCATTTCAAACTGGTTCATTCCCAAGTAAAATGAAAATAGCTAAAATATTGTCGTTATACAAAAATGGGAACAAACATCTCTTCACTAACTATCGACCAGTCTCTCTGCTGCCACAGTTCTCTAAAATATTAGAAAAATTAGTTAATAACAGAATGGAAACATTCATAGATAAACATAAATGAATCAGTGAAAGTCAGTACGGCTTCAGATCAGGAAGATCAACAATGCAAGCCATTTTAGAAACTGTAGAGGAGATAACTACTGCGATGGATAACAAGAAAATTGCTGTTGGAGTGTTGTTGGACATCAAGAAGACATTTGACACAGTCAATCATGATTTATTACTAAAAACAACTTGAATGATATGGGATATGGGGAGTAGCACTAGACTGGGTTCAAAGTTATTTGAAAGGCAGACAGCAGTATGTGAAGCTGTGAGATGTTTGTTCTGGATGTTTGGACATTGTTTGTGGGGTTCCTCAGGGGTCAGTCCTGGGTCACAAACTGTTTATAATTTATGTAAATGATCTATATATTGTACCTGAAATAATGAAAAGTATACTATTTACTGATGATACAAATGTTTTTTTGTGTTGGAGATGACATGGAACAACTGTTAAAGGATGTAACTAATGAACTGAATAGACTTAAAATGTGGTTTGATGAAAATAGGCTGTCCTTGAACCTAAACAAAACAAAAATAATGTTATTTGGGAACTGTCAATCACATACAGAAATTCAAATACAAATAGATGGAGTGAAAATTGAAAGAGCTCATGAAAACAAATTTCTTGGTGTCATTATTGATGATAAACTCAACTGGAAACCACACGTCAAATATGTTCAAAGTAAAGTCTCAAGAAATATCGCCCTCTTAAACAAAGCCAAGTCGGTCATAGAACAAAAAGCATTACATGTACTCTACTGTTCACTAATCTTACCTTATTTAAGTTATTTTGCATAAATCTGGGGCAATAATTACAAAACTACAACTACAGGCATTAACAATACTACAAAAAAGAGCAATAAGAGTAATCCATAAGATGGGATATTTAGAAAGCACTAATACACTATTTGTCAAATCTAAATTAATAAAGTTCATTGACATAGTGTAACTACAGACAGCTCTAATTCTTTACAAAGCAAAAAGTAAACAATTACCAGAAAACATTCAAAACCTGTTTAAAGTTAAGGATCAAATTTATACGTTAAGGGGAATCACGGTTTAAAATATACAAATTTAGAACTAGAAAAAACTTTTGTGTATCAGTGAGTGGAGTCAAACTGTGGAATAATTTGAATATTGAACTTAATGTCCAAACATAAAACTGTTCAACTTATCATATAAACATATGATTATTGCTGGATATAATATTATCATTCAATTATTGTTGGGGGGTTTTGTTAGTCGTTATTGATGCTTTTGTTTTTTGTGAAGTTAAAGGAATAATAATTGTTCATCTACTATAGTTAACTGAAATACATAGATGGGATAAATATGGGTTTGGTTGTTATATGTATGGATTATACATGTAATGAATGTAAGATTATGCAAGTGGTTAAGGAGTGGGAATTTTGATAAGTTTATACTTCTACCCACTCCCTTGAATATGTAAAACAAAAAGTTTTGACATTATGCTTCATGCTGCTTTTTTTTTTTTACATATTCAAAATATAATAAACTAAACTAAACAGTACATCTATGCACGTGCCTTAGCAAGGGAGTGGTGACGCAGAGGTTAGAGAAGGCGGGGCATGTGATCGGAAGATCTCTAGTTCCACTCCCAGTACTGACAACATCAAAATGTGGGTGGGATTGGTGAAGCACCCACACCTGCCTCAACCCTCATTTGCCTCACTCTGGGCCCTTGAGCAAGGCCCTTAACCCCCACCATCTGCTCTTCCAGGTGTCCTAGATGGCAGCTCTCTGCTCCACACAGAGGGCTGTAGTAGCTCGGTGGTCTGTGGTTGCGTCAGGAAGAGTATCTGGTATAAAAATAATTAGCGAGTCTTGGTGCGACTTAGTTCGCTGTGGGACCCCTGAGGAATGGAGCAGCCGAAAGAAGAAGAAGAAGAAGATACACGTGCCATAGCATGACTCTTTCATACCGTGTCAGGATCATGCCATACTAGCACAATGCTACAACCACGGGTATCACGTATTTACAAAACTGTTTCCATAACCTAGCCCATGACTCAGTCCTGCTTCCTGCCATGAGTGTGGGTGCCATACTCTGCCACCATACTTCCTCTGAAGGACCCAATATGCTGCTACCAACACGATAAATCACGTTATGAAAGATTTGTGCATACTCAAAGCAGTCACTGACCTATCATGCTCTACTTGTGACGAGGAGCTCAATGCATTCTTAATATGCACCTGAAGACTTTGCCAAGATCCTGCAGAGATCATCCACATTCTTGATTTATTTATTTATTTATTTATGTGTCCATCATTGCACCATCCAGTGTGAAGAAGGCTTTAATGGAGACTGTCACAAAACAAGGCAGACGAAGGCTTGCTGACCCAAATGCAGACAATGTAAAACAACTATCTTGGTCATAAACTGAACCTTTTATCACCAAAAATGAACAGGACTCAGAGAAAAGCAGGAAAACAGCAGTATGTAAGTGATGAAGTTCTGAAAAACTGAGAAATGAATTTAAGCAAACCGGGACCATAAATACACAATAAGAAGATGCAGCATATGAAACATGTGTGCTGCTGAGTACAGATTCTGGCCAGGTGTGACAAAGAAACAGGGAAGGACAGCTGACAAAAGAGCAAATGTAGGAAACAAAATAGGCAACAGATACAAAATGGCCAAGTTAAGCAAATACAAAACCAATAAATCAAATCAGGGACTCATTGTGACACAGAAAGAATACAAATGGATGTCAATTAAAAACAACTTTTGTTTCAAAATTGCCAACAAAACTTTCTCCATATTACTCAAAGTACTTTGTAATTTGGTCTGGTATACTTAGTGTATAATCCCTTAACATTATTTTTCAACCTTTATTTAACCTTTATTTATTTATTGGCACACGGACACAATAAACTGTATATAGAGTGTTTAATAGAAGTAAAACAATGATGGATAAAAGTGGGTACCACAGTCTATAAACTTGCTTTAAGCTGCACAGCAGGTGAATCATGTCATGTTTTCTGTCACATCAGTGTAACTGCATCTTCTGACAGGTTCTCCGCTGGTGATTTGTGTTGTATCCATAACATCTGCCTTTGACAGTTACGGTGACAAGTAAGTATGACAAGTGCATGGGGGTGGGGGGGTAGATGACGTGTACCTAATTTAATTAAAGTCATTGCATAAGAAGGACATCACCTGTGAAGATTTGAGCTGTATTTAAAGTTTTAAAGCTTGTAGTTCAAGAAGCATGACATTCATTATTGACTTCACATTGGAACATTTTTACCTGGGAGGAAACACCTTTTATTTGTGAACGTTTAAGAAGCATTTACACTGTTGTGATCCATTTAGCTTCCAGCATCTTTCCTGTTCCACAGCTTTTGTGCTCTTTCAACAAACCATATAACAAAACGTTCAGCTCGTTCAGGAGAAGGGTGCTATGACTTTTGGTATTGGTACAACTTTAGCTTTTTGAAATATTTAGTCTTTTCTGCCATTTTTTCTCATAGGAAATGAATTGAGCTCATTTTACCTCCTTCACGTCTTTAGATCTGTTTACAACCTTTTACTGCTCCTTTCACATTTTGTCCCGGTTCAGCTTCTTTTGGCTGCCTTGTGCAAATTTAAACTTTTTTTAGCTAATTTCAGCTGTCTTTTCTTATGTTTTGTGATCCTTTCAGATTCTTTCTGCTAACTACTATATTTTGTGTTTCTTCTAACTTCTTTCTGCTGATTTCAGTTTGTTATGCTCCTTTCAGCTTATTTATTTGTTTCAGCTTTTTATACTATTTCAGCTACTATTTAGCCGTTTTTATGCAAATTTTAGCTTTTCCAACTAATTCCATATTTTCTTGCACTCATTTCAACTTTTATCAGCCCGTTTCTGCAAAGATGTGCTCTCTCCACCTAATTCTGGTCATTTAAGTTGCTTTCTGCATTTTTAGCTACTTTTCAGTTGGTTTTTTTTGCTAATTTCATATTTTTTCAAACAAGTTCCACCTTTTTGTGCTAATTTCTGCTTCGTTCAGCCTAACTGGGCAAACATGTGCTTGTTCTACTTCCTTCCACTAACTTGAAGCTAGTTCTACCTTTTCAGCTAGCGTTTTAGCTTTTTTAGCTAATTTCAGCTGTTTTCAGATAAATTCCAGTTTTTCCATGGTAATTTTTGTTACTTTCAGCCTAATTAACATCTTTATGCTAATTTAATCTTGCACCTTTAAGCTTTTTAATGCTAGATTTGTCTTTTTCTGCAATTTCAGCTACTGTTTAGCTGTTTTATGCTAATTTTAACTTTTTCAACTAATTCCACTTTTTTTTTTAGCTTATTTCAGCTCTTTCCCCTTCCTTCTGGTAAGCTTATTTGCCTTTTCAGTTATTTTTGCTAGATTCAGCTTTTTAGCTAATTTCAGCTTTTTTAGCTAATCTCCTGATTGTTGTGTTCATTTCTGCTTATTCAAACCTAATTCAGCAAATATGTCTTCTTCATTCTTTCTTCTGCTAACTTAGGCTTGTTCTTCTTTTTCAGCTAAAATTTAGCATGTTTTTTTTTTCTAATTTTAGCTGTTTTTCAGCTAGTTCATCAGCAATAAACATTCACACTGAATTTTCACAGGAAATGCAATTTCTCTAGTTTGTATTGTCATCTTTTTCATTTATTTATTTATTTTCCCCCTTTTCAGCTGTTGGCTATCACTAAAGACGGGGGCCATATGGGCGTTTGTGGCGCCTGCTCTTTTTGTTATTGTGGTAAGGACCTTTTCTTCCAACACATTGTGACTGTCAGCCCATTTGTTATTAAATTGTATAAACCTTCTGATGCAGGTGAACATTGGCATTCTGATATCTGTGACCAGAATCATTTCTCGAATCAGTGGGGAGAATTATAAGGTTCACGGCGATGCCAATGCAGTCAAGTGAGTTTGTTGACTCCATCATATTCTTTTAATGGTGCAGCATATTTATTTTGTCAAAAGCTATCGTTACAATCATGCTTATCTCTCGGTTTGCTTGAAGGCTGACAGCCAAAGCAGTGGCTGTGCTCCTGCCCATTCTTGGCATTTCCTGGATCTTTGGTGTTCTTGCTGTCAACACACACTCGCTGGCATTTTTGTATATCTTTGCTGTATTCAACTCATTACAAGTAAGTTCTTCTCTTTTCAATCTTTTTTTCTGATTAAAGATATGATGTCTGTCTTGTTACATTTGTTTTAATTCTTTTATTTTTTAGGGGTTTTTCGTCTTCTTGTTTCACTGCCTCCTCAACTCTGAGGTATGGGGCGAAACGTTTGGTGCATGTTTTTTACTTGTGCGTTTTGCAAACTTGTGTTGGTAAAGAACATGTTTCTTCTAAGGGGTCATGAGCTTTGTTGAGATGAACTTACATTCAGTTTCAGTCAGTCTGAGTCTTTTTTTTTAATCTTTAGGTCAGAGCTGCATTTAAACACAAAACCAAGGTGTGGTCTCTTACCAGCAGTTCTATCCGAAACATCAATGTGAAACCATTCAACTCTGACATTGTGAGTGTTGAGGACAAAACACACAATTAAACATATGTGACTTAGCTGACTCCTAAATGCCTAATGCTCTGTTGTTCACCTTCTCGTGCAGATGAATGGACACAGGGAGGGTGGAAGCCCCACTAAGATGCACACATGGGACAAGAGCACCAACTCGGCCAACCGTATCGACCTTTCTGCTGTGTAGAAAGTAAACTTACAGTTTGTGGCAAAACCCCGGCTGGAGATTTGTTCGTCTGAGTCGTAAAATAAACAGATACTTGTTCACGCCAATGAAAGTGATGCTGAAGGACACACCTAAGGACAAACAGACTCGTGTGAGACTGTGCCTCACATCTCTCCCACCAAACCAGAGAAAACTATATTTAATCATGCCAACCAAGCCTGTGTAGAATAATGTCTTCTTCCTCTGTTGAATCTGTTTATTGCTGCAGGCTTGTTTGCTGTCTTTATGAGAGCTGCATGGTAAGGCTTATGTAAAGTTCATGTCTGTTTAATAGTATTTTAAAAAGGTAGGCTCACACATTCAATGTGAAACCAATGAATGACAAACAGCTTTGCAAAACAAACAAAAATACTAGGGATGCACAATATTATCGGCATGGCATCGGTATTGGCCGATATTAGCGATAAAGTTAAATATCGGCCATTTCACCAAAATAACTCACTGATATAAAAGGCGTTGTTTATATATATATATATATATATATATATATATATATATATATATATATGTGTGTGTGTGTGGCACTGTTTTTGTATGACGGTTCAAGTGTAGTCATTGTGTTAGTGAGAGTAAATATTGTGAATAAATATGACATTAAACATAATCCAAGTTGAAGTGTTGCATCATTTTCAGACCCTTTTTGACATCTGTATTTAGTAACAGGCCAAACTGACAAAGACCATGCAGAATAATGTAGTATTTTATTTCCACAGCAAAGAAAGCTATGTAGTCTCTGTCAGTAGGTCTGGGGGGGGATTGGTATTGGTATCGGTTATCGGTTATTGGCCAAAGTTTTAACATTAGTATATCAGATATCGGCCAAAAATCCAATAGTGCATCCCTCAAAAAATACATAAAATAACTAAAGTGTTTATTCGCTGCATGCATCACAGATTTTGTAGATTTAATGCATGCATGAAAGACCACATTTGAGTTTATGTTGTTTATTTGTCATGTGCAGGTTAACACAAGTTCAACAATGCAATGAAATGTTTGGGATGAGACATTTTAATCATTATCAGTCAGCACTATTTCATTTTTTATAACAGTATATTTCTACAAGTCAGAAATAATTTAAAAGCCACCAATCTATTAAAGAAAATTGCAGTTTATGAAAATTCAAGTGTTTAAATGTATCTAAAATGTTCCAGTAGTTCAGACGTGTAACAGAGGCGCATGAAGCTTTAAAAGTTTTACAATAAAACGTGATCTGTGAACCAACAGGCTGGCGGGAAAAGTCTTGATGTCGGTGCCAGAGAAGAGAAAAAAAAATCATTCTGGCAATATTCTATGATTGGAAATAAAAAATTACCACAGATTTGATCAAAATTTTGTTTTAATTCAGAAATTCTTGCCATGCGTTTGAAAATACAAAATCAATAGGCCTATTATAGGTGGCTGGTTGAACTGATTGTAAGGACCAACACGAGCGTGCATTTCACCTTCATATCACTAATATGAACTCTTCTGGCTGAACTCCTCTTCACTTTGTATTTTTGACTTGTCACTGAAAATATTTCTACCAGTTTACAGAACATCACAGAAGCAGTTTGTTTAGTATGAAACATCTGAAAGTGTTACCGATCTTTTTTTCAAACATTTGTACAGATGAATGTTTTTTTTTTTTCACACAAAGAATTAGTGCAACAACATCTGCTTTTACTCATGTACATAAAATGAAATACTTCAAATTGAAATAAGCATTTTCTGCCTATGCTTAAATGCAATTACACACTATGGACAGAATAAAACCAATAAAATATAGTGTAAGTTGAAATTATGGTGTTATTTTATGTCTTGAAAACTGTACCGTCACCAGCTCTTAGTTGTTTTTATCACAAAGGACAAAGTACAGATTTTATCTGGATGCACATCGACAGTACACGCCTAATCTAGTTTTTTGAAACAATAACAATAAATGCTATGAAAATGAATTCAACTCTCTATATATTTATTTATTTTTGTATTTCTGATTATGTTAAGTCTCCTTTAAAATGAATGTTACTAGCAGTGTTTAGTATGTAAACTCTGTTGGTGTGTTTTTTTTTTTTTTATTGTTATTGGCTGGCTTAGTTCCAGTACCTCACACCTTTTGTAAGCTGCCACATCTTAAACTAAGCTTTTTGAGAAATAGTGAATAATATGTACTGTTTATGTATTTTAAACAATTCTGTGAAGTTTCATGTTTTTAGCTACTTCTGTTTTCAATACATCTTTTAAAGTTGATTTCTTTTGGTACAATAAAATATGAACCATTCTATTAAAAAAGGGACTTCAAATTGTTGTAATGTTTCTTAATAGCCTGATTTTGTTTAAGGTTTTCTTTATCTTACAGTTTGCCAGCATTGTTTTACTTTAAGTAAATCTGCACGTCCTCTTTATGTCAAATTTAAACTTTAATATGCATAAACTTGTACACTTACCATTTAATTTCTGATATCCTGCGGTACTATGTTTTGTGCTTCTAATTATCATCATAAAAAACGTTTTGTTAAGACAGATTTTTTTTCTTTATTGCATGATTTTCACCATAATGCTCAGATCTGCATGTGCTATACGCCAACTTTCTACTTTATTGTGCTATTTAGTGGAAGTGTGGATGCCAGTGATTAATATAATTATGAATCCATTCTGATGGTGATCTGCTTTGGTCTGTAAAATCTTTGGTCATAAGAGCAAACAAGGACATATGAATGGCAAAGGCAATTATTTGTAATCAATTAAATATTAAAGAGTTTGAAAGCAAATGTTTCCTTGTTTGAATTTGTCAATGTTGTTTTATGCAAAGATAAATTATTATTATTATTATTATTATTATTATTATTATTATTATTATTATTATTATTATTATTATTATTATTA